TATTTGATTGAACATAAATGAATATAAGGTTAACATAACCTGACCCAACTCACCCATGGATGGAGCTAGCCTGAAACTGAAGGAAAAAAATTAAAAGATTCATAACAGAAATCCTGACCTGAACCGCTGAACCCATAATCGGATAATCCCAAGCTAACTTAAAGAAACAATTTAATTCTTGCAAATTGCAATGTAAGCGTGCAAAAGAAAATCTGTAGTTAAAAGATCCAACTTGAACATTTTGGCCGATTGTTACCTCTGATTACATCTTTAAAACTGTTCTTATGGTCCCAATGTGGATAAGTTTTTCTTTGAGTCGTGGATGCATTTTCTTCTTCTAAATTATAAATGATGCTCCCAATATCCTAAATTCTTTTCTTTTCCTCTCTCGCATTTTCAGCTTTATTGCCGTCTTAACTCTGGTTGATGAATCTTGCGTTTCGTTGAAAATCAAATGTTTGGCTGCTAGGATTATAAGTTTTTCCGCACTGTAAAGTTTGGCTGCTAATCTCCCTCTGAACAATTGACCCATAAAAAGATTGGTAGTATTATTTAGAAAGAGTTGACCTGCTTATTACCTTGCTTTAGATCTAGACATACTCAATTAAAATAATTTCCTTACATTCCTATTTAACAATTTTATCATTTTCATATTTTATGTGTAATTTTTAACACCATATAATAATATAATATAAAACGATTTAAAATTTTACATATATAGCAAAATTAAAAAAAATGGATTATATCTAATTTTATAATGGTTAAATATAAAAATTATTCATATATTATATACTTTTTATTAATTTGATACCTAAAACATAAAATTATCAATTTGGTATTCAAATTTTCATTTCGTCATTTTATTTTGATAATTGAAATTAACACCATCAATCAACTTACTGATGTAATATAAATATCTAATAAGATATTGACATGTGTAAAAAAATTTTGATTAACATTACATAATTAATTGTCATATTAGCATTAAAAGAAAATTTCAAAAATATATATATATAAAATATTTTTAAAAATTAAAAAAAATTAAAAAGTGAAGTGTTTTTAAAAATTAAAAAATTATAAAAACATAAAAAAATTCAAAAAAATTCTCAAAATTTAAACAAAAAATCCAAAAAAATTTTTAAAAAGTAAAAATTATAATAAAAATAATTTTTTCTCAAAATTCATAAAAAATAGAAAACTTAAAATTTTGAAAATTAAAAAAACTAAATTATTTTTTAAAATATAAAAAAAATTTAAAAATATAAATTTTTTTTAAAAATATAAAATTTTTTTAAAAAATAGTAAAAGTTTTTTTTTAATTTTCTGAAAATTTCTCATTTTCTTATCTTACATTTTTATATATTTTTAAAAATTTTTATTTTTTAGAAACTTTTTAAATTTTTAATAATTTTTTAAAATGTTTAAGATTTTGAAATTTTTAATTTTTCATATTTTTAAAAATTTTTCTGAATTTTTTAAAATTTTTAATAATTTTTCAAAAATTTTTCAACAATTTTAGATTTTTTAGTTTTCTGTTTTTAAGTTTTGTGATTTTTTTAATTTTAATAAAATTTTATTTTTATGAAAATTTCATTTTTTCGTTTTTTTAGAATTTTTCTAGAATTTTTTAGATTTTTATTAAAATTTAAAGATTTTTTTAAAATTTTAAAATTTCATAATTTCTTAATTTTAAAAACATTTCATATTTTTTAAATTTTTTATATTTTTTAAAATATTTCAAATTTTTTAAATTCTTTTTTAGAATTTTCTAATTTTTTTTAAAAAAATTTTTTAATACTGACGTAATAATTAAGATATGATATTAATTCAATTTTTTGACAAGTATTAATATTTTATTATATATTCGTATTACATAAACAAATTGATTAATACCGTTAGTCTAAAATATCAAAATGGGTGAACAAAAGAAAATTAAAATATCAAATTAACAATTTTATTTTCTAAGTGTCAAATTGATAAATATATATATATATATATATATATTATATAACCATTTTTATATTTAAGGCATTTTACAACTTTAGTATTGTATGGTTAAAGTAGGAAACTGAATTGCAACCCAAAAAAGAGTTGGAAATTGAGTGGTTGCTGAAACCTTCTTAGCCCAGGTACAATCTTTAACTGCATGTGACACTGTTGCACCCGCTTGCCCACACCTATGATATTCTGGGTTGGCAATTATCTTCCTTGGATATAAGTTCTAATTAACCGGTAATATTTCTTAGGCCACTTTCCACAAGAAGATCTTGATTTCTTCTTGATTTTGGTTGGAACTTAGATCGCCCATATACTTCTCCATATGCTTTCCTGCTGGTTCCCTTCCACGTTTCCTTCATGTCCATACAATGACCTATATGCACTCTTGACAGTAAATTCCCCTGAATGATTATAATGCCATATTAACTTGTCAGGGAGACCGATTTGACTGAGTGGCATTGCACATATAGCCTTTGCTTCTGCTTCAGAAAACCTCTTTCTTATAGCATTCTAGTCCCACCATTTTGTTCGTGCATCAACCAACACATCCACAGTCTCCTCCACATCCCAATCACTCCTCTGTGAAGTTGGCTGAAAGTTGTCCATCAACGGGATCCAGTTATCCCACCATATCCTCACCGTCCTACCGTTCCCAATCTTCCACCTCATACCTTTTTTAAATTTTATTAAAATTATAGAAATAAACGTAGGCTAGCTCTTGTGAGTTGTCTCCTAAATAAAATACATAAGTCAACCCAGCTTGACCAAGCCAAATATTTGTGTTTTAAGATAACAAATTGGGAGGTTTAAATGCATATTTAATGTATAAATGATGAACATAATAAGATAAATAACATGATTTGATTAAATTATATTATCTTATTTTATATTTGATATGTTGAAAGATTATAAGTAAAGATTATTGTTATCATGAATAAGATCTAATAATTTTTTATTAGTTAAATTAATTTGAATTTATAATTTTTTATTAAAATATAATTCAAATTTGTTTAGCAAAAATATATAATTTGAATTTAAAATAATTTTATGATTAAAATTTGTAATTTTTATACTAATATGATAACAGTGTTCTTAAGATACTCATCAAAATCTTATAATAATTAATTCAAATAATTAAACGACTGTTAATTTGAGATTATTATTTTAGATTAAAAATATTAATTGACACTTGTATCAGTTAACATGTTTTTAAAATTAACGAGTTCAAAAAAATTTATACATATAATATTTTTTTTAACCAAGTAAATAGTTTAATAAAAAATTTAGATAAATTAAAAACTTAAATAATAATGTAATAACAATAATAATATTCCGACTCGATCCATTTGACCCGTTAAGCCAGCTGGGCTGTTCATTGGATTCCACAACGGTTATATTTTTTGAAGACTTTTTAATCCCTCTTTCGCTTATTTTAAAAAATATGAATAAAAGAATAATCCTCTGCTTTAATAATTCCGTTCCGTACGTTTGTTGGCCGTTGCAATATCCAATAAAATGGTTACTAGATATATATATATATATATAAAGGCCCCACGTCGACCTTTAATTCAAACTTAAAACCTAAATTATACAGCCCTAACAAAAATTTAAGTACATAATGATGAATTGATAATTATAATAATAATATTATTAGAAAGGGTAATAAGTAGAGTCCAATAGCAAAGGCCAACTAGAGGACTCGACTTTACCAAATTTTATTTTTTCTATTAAAAAATTATTCTAATTCAAAACAATGAAATTTTTTTAGATTACAAAATTCAATTTTGGACGGCTTCAAAAAATATATATATTAATGTTATGTTGATATCCATAGAATTTTATCCCTAAGGTTTGACATTTAAACACACAATTGAGATTTTGCTTCTTTTTCTTTATCAAGAAAATAGTAGCAACACATTTAAATTTATTTATTTTTTCTCAAATTCCCATAAAGTCTAGTACTTGAACTTGCTTTTATTTTAAGTTTCAGTTAATGAGCAATATTAACTAAAATCGTGTATTTTTTAATAAAAACATTAATTTTAAAACTACCTACATAGATGTACATGGCCCAAATATCAAAAAAAAAATTCTTGATAATTTTAATTACCAAAATTAAAATTAATATATAGCTATATAGGTAAGATAATTTGCACCCACTTTTTTATTTTCCTTTTAATGGCATAAAATATAAAATATCATTCTCCAAAAACAAAAATAGAAGTCAAGATGGGCCAATCCTACCAGCAATTAAAATTTTTAAAAAAAAGTAAAAATGAGATCATTAAAAAAAAAAAAAAAAAACCGGCCACAAACAATGGTGAGAGGTTGATGTGCATGTATTACTATTATCTGTTTTTTTTTCTAGTGAATCTCTTATCGAGATATTGTGATAATTTATTGTTGTATATTTATAAAGATTTTTATAATAAAGTATATATATATATGTGAAAATTTAAATTTATATTAATGAAAATATTTTTTTTGTAAAATAAAACATATTTTTAAATTAAAATGGACAATAGCTTTTCACAAATTTTAATTACATTTCCCTCCGTGATTTATTAAAACTTACGATTGTCATAAAAAAAACTATCTAATAATTTTCGAAAACCATTGCAAAAATCCTTTTTTTTTTTTTTTAATCTTTTTGAGTGACCAACTTTTATAGTAGTTGTTAAGGGCAAAGACACGGACATGATAAAGTTAAAGTAAGTCTTGTTATGCTTGTCATTGAAATTGAACATCATATATTATAAATCTAAAGGAAATAAAATAAATAAGCCCAAAAACAGCCAAACTAAGTAAACGTTGTTAAAAAACAAAAAACACTTTAAGGTTCGAACTCCAAACGAGACAATTACAAACACAACTGGACACAGGACACGCAGATGAATAAGAAAAGTCATACAAATATAAATATAAAATAATAATAATAATGGGAACATGATCTGGTCTGATTTCTATAAATGGATGCCACTTTCTCACGTTTTCAGCATTGTCACTTGCAGTCTCATTGAGAGTACAAACATCTTCCATCTCTCTCTCTCTTTTTCCCTTTCTATAGTTTCAGCGTTCAACCCAGTAAGTTCAAAGTCCAAATCTATTTTTTCGTTTATAGCTTCTACCAATATAACATTTGCATTGTTCTTCATTCTCCTGCTACTGTTATACTTCATTTATGCTTCATTCTTCTTTTTCAAAATCTTTTCCTTTTGGGTTTCTTTCTTTTTTTTTTTTTTGCCTCTTTTTTGTGTCAGTCATTTGCTTTTTATCTGAAGCATTTGATTTTTAGCTTACAAGGAGATTGCTTTCACATTTGATTTTTAGTTTTCTGCCATTTTTAAGATCTTAATCTTCACTGTTTCATTCCATTTAATGATTTATCTATCTTCATGCTAAAGATTCATTTTTTAGCTTGCTTACCACCATTCTAAGTATCTTTATATCTTCATATTTTCAGAGCAAAAGGTTGATCTGGGAACTCAAAAAATGGGTAGATTTTCGATACCCAAGTTGGGATTTCTACTGTTATGCTGCTTAACAGCTGTTACAGAAGCAACATATGTGAAGTACAAAGACCCAAAACGGCCGGTGGGTGTTAGAATCAAAGACTTAATGAGTAGGATGACCTTGGCTGAAAAGATTGGCCAAATGACTCAGATCGAGCGCACTGTTGCTACCCCAGATGTGATGAAGAAGTATTTTATTGGTATAAACCAAATCATCTTTTAACAATCTTTAGTATGTCCTCATTTTATTTTTCACATTTTTTTCAAATGGTTTATGCATCTCATTTGTTCTATGATTACATTCCTTGTTTTTCTATTCGTTGGAAATCCAATATGATTCGTTCAATTGTTTCCTTTTACCCGTGGATTTATACATTTGCCAAATATACGTTTAATTGAATATGTTAACTTTTTCATTTCTTATTTATTTTTAAACGGATCTGTTATGAGCAAATAAATCCACTTATAAAATTTTTTAACTTGCAATCAGTGTGTAAGACAATAAGCTTTTATTTGCTTATAGTTATCTAAATTGTTGTCTTGCTTACGCTGTTTTTTATGAAATTGAGTTGTGTTGTAAACGGAGGTTGTATGGTTTGTGTAGGGAGTGTTTTAAGTGGTGGAGGGAGTGTACCTGCCCCAAAAGCTACTCCTGAGACTTGGATTAAGATGGTGAACTCAATGCAAGAGGGGTCTTTATCCACCCGTCTTGGGATTCCCATGATATATGGGATTGATGCAGTTCACGGCCACAACAATGTATATAAGGCCACTATTTTTCCTCATAACATTGGTCTTGGAGTGACCAGGCAAGTTATATATCTTGAGCCAAACATGTTCAAATTTTTTTATCATTCAAGGTTGTACATTTTGCTTGAGGTATGGACTTTTAATTTTAATTTGTCATATAGAAGGCTTTTATCCAATCTTGTGCTAAGTGTCTTTGAGATTCAAATCGCTTGACCTGCATTGACCGGAATGGTATTAAATTTAGAGGATGAAATTTTGAGCAATTTCAAATTGCGTTGTCCTTAAAATAATCAAATGATGTTCCCATAAATTTGGTATTCTACATTACTCTGCTTTTTGAAATATCAAGAAGATGGGCAACATTCTGTGAATTTCCAGAATGAAGAATAATGAGAAAGTTTAAAGTGACATTTGAGTTTTCATACCCTATCAATCAAACAGGTGGACATATTGCTGAAGTTTGAATGGAATGCCTTGGGGTGCTTTCTTTCTGCTTTGCCTGTCTACTAAAGTCAAATCAATAGTTCTATGATTCTTTGTTGGAATCATTTAGTCACTTTTATTTAATCTGCAGGGATCCTCAACTTATCAAGAAGATTGGAGATGCAACTGCTCTCGAAGTTAGAGCAACAGGAATCCCCTATGTTTTTGCTCCATGCATTGCGGTAATTAAACACAGGAACATGCTTGAATACTGAATATTGTGAAAAGCCTACATCATGTGTACTAATTGTTGGTTTTTTTTTACTTCTGTTGTCAATCTTTCACAGGTTTGCAGGGATCCCAGGTGGGGTCGATGCTATGAAAGCTACAGTGAGGATCATAAGATTGTTCAATTAATGACTGAGATTATACCCGGTTTACAAGGAGACCTCCCTTACGATTCTAAAGAGGGTGTTCCCTTTGTTGCTGGAAAGTAAGAGTCTTTACTATAAACGGCCACTTATAATTCTAGTGTCCCTACTTAGGGAAATATTACTTTTGATGGCAATTTCCCAAATGACAAGTGCGCCATATTTGTCTTAAACTTTTTGGACATCTTTAGGTGTAATCACATGGCAAGCTTTCATTGTCCACCATTTAGTCATCTAAATATAAAACATGACTTGAATAACTATAGCAAAGTGCTATTTCCACCAAACTCTTCAATATCATAACTTGTTAGTTAGATGAGGTTACGTCTTGCTATATTGGTTAGCTATCTAGTGCTTTATGTAGAAGGCAGGGTAAAACTCAAGCAAAATGTTAGCCATAGCTTCTATATTCAAGCTTTATGTATTTTGCTATTTTTGCATCTTTATTTCCTTTTTTTTTTCTTTGGTTCTGCATTACATTTGGTAGCACAAACTCCAGTTTAGTACAAAATAGAAAATTCCATTTACTGCTTTACCTGATTTAGCATATGGATAGCTGCTGAAGTCTGCTGCTGCGAAGAAGAGTATCATGTTAAAATAGTCATGAAGATTTATAGGTTCCCCTAATGTACATTTTAAAATTAGGCATGAAGTCATTGATCAAATTGGTCAGATTAAGTTTAAATTTTTAACTTTGAAAGTAAGAATTTCCCCCAATCAATTTAATTTCTTTATCTAGGAAAAAGGTGGCAGCCTGTGCTAAGCACTATTTGGGGGATGGAGGTACGACAAAGGGCATAAATGAGAACAATACGGTGATTAGCTTGAATGGATTACTCAGCATCCACATGCCTGCATATCTTAACTCTATTAGAAAGGGTGTTGCAACAATTATGGTATCCTATTCTAGCTGGAATGGGAAAAAGATGCATGCTAATCGTGATCTTGTGACCGGGTTCCTGAAAAACAAGCTTAAGTTCAGGGTAACAAAATCAACTTGAACTAAATTTGTCCCCGCTCACTATAATCAATATAAAGCATTTGGTTTGACACATTTCTTTGGGTGTATTTCAGGGTTTTGTTATAACAGATTGGCAGGGTCTTGATAGGATTACCTCTCCTCCACATGCTAACTACTCTTATTCTGTAGAAGTTGGAGTTGGTGCTGGGATTGATATGGTCAGTCAAAATTTAGTATTATTTTCTATGTCATTCAATTAAAAAATTTGATGCAACCATTGTACCAATTTTTATTTAACATATGGTAATTTTCAAGTTGGATTTTGTGTAATTCCTCCAATCTACATTAGAAAATGTGAAGATCCACTATGGTATATAGATTTAATATATTACTTGTGAGGCAATTTTTGTGAGACAAAATCGTAAGACCTTCGGATCAAAATGGACAATACCTTGCAGGTTGGATACAAGTCTCCACGATTGGTATCAATGTAGTTACTAGTAAAAATGTGGGAGCCACCTCTAGAATCCTAGAGAGTGAGAGCTAAGTGTTACACAGTGGGAGCCACCTCTAGATTCTCAATGCTTAGTGTGATCATGGTTTGATGTGTAATGTATAGGGTTTGACGGGGACATTAAACTTTAATGGGTAGAGATTGTAATATATATATAGAGACTCAATCCCATACTTGTGGGACAAAACCACGAAACCTTGAAGCATATAAGATTCTTATATTCACCTTTCTCCCTTTTGTTAAATAATGCAATCTTGGGTTTTGTGCAGGTCATGGTTCCTTCTAACTTCACAGAGTTCATTGATGACCTAACCTATCAAGTTAAGCACAATATCATTCCCATGAGCAGGATTGATGATGCCGTACAGAGGATCTTGAGGGTTAAATTTGTCATGGGTCTCTTTGAGAATCCAATGGCTGATGACAGCCTGGCTAACCAACTTGGGAGTCAGGTAAATTGAATCTATTCTATTGTTATAAATGGACTTGGATGCTCTTCATTTATCATCATTTATGGGTGAAGAAGGAATCAAATAGACTTTACTAAATGATAATGTGTTTTGAACAGGAACACAGAGAGTTAGCAAGGGAAGCTGTGAGGAAAAGTCTTGTCCTATTGAAGAATGGTGAGTCTGCTGATAAGCCATTGTTACCCCTTCCCAAGAAAACAACTAAGATATTAGTTGCTGGAAGTCATGCTGATAACTTGGGCTATCAATGTGGAGGCTGGACCATTACATGGCAGGGTCTTAGTGGCAATGATCTCACAAGTGGTACGTTCTAAATTTACAATTAAACAACTAAAACATATAGGTCTTGTTGGCCCAAAGGTTTTGACGAATAAATTGATCCAGAAAAACATTTCAGTTTTATTGTTGCCTCTGTTAAACATGGTGACATGCTTGGAACTTGATAGAACAGGATATGAGAGCCATTTGATCAATTATAAAGATGTCAAGCACTGATTTCACCATCTGAAATCAATCCAAGTGGTAACTGTCATTTGAACTATTGTGAGAATTTGCCAGTGTTATTAACAACTCTATCTCAAGGGTTAGCTAAAATTGAATGGATTCACTTCGGCTGAGTTGAGTTTAATCATTGTTGAAGCCCATATTTACCTTGTCTTATGGTCTCGGGTATCATGGAAGAAACAATCTGTCAGAAAGATGCAGACCAATTGTTAATAGCTAGGGTTAATGGAAAATTTCTCCATGATGTTAACTTAGAATGATTTGACAGAGTACAATCTGCATGAACAGGTACCACTATCCTCCAGGCTATTAAAAATACGGTTGATCCAACCACTCAAGTTGCCTACAGTGAGAACCCTGATGCAGACTTTGTCAAGTCCAACAAATTCTCTTATGCCATTGTTGTTGTGGGAGAACCCTCTTATGCAGAAACAAATGGTGACAGCCTGAATCTTACAATATCCGAACCTGGTCCAAGCACTATATACAATGTTTGTGGGGCTGTGAAATGTGTTGTTGTGGTCATCTCTGGCCGGCCAGTTGTCATGCAGCCCTACCTCTCATCAATTGATGCACTTGTAGCTGCTTGGCTTCCAGGGACTGAGGGCCAAGGTGTTGCTGATGTTCTGTTTGGTGACTATGGGTTCACCGGCAAGCTTGCAAGGACATGGTTCAAGACTGTCGACCAGCTCCCTATGAATGTTGGTGATCCACATTACGACCCTCTCTTTCCATTTGGATTTGGTTTGACTACTGAACGTACCAAGCGCAACTAAAATCACTTGAGAGCTTGAGCTTGCTGCTTTGTATGATTTTTTCCTATTTTTACATGGTAGGAACTCTGATTATTTCCCCTCATCATTGAAGGAGTTAACAATTTCTACTTATTAATCTTTTTATCAAGTTGTCGAGAAACATCTAAGAGGGGCGACAATTTTCTTTTCAAACTTTCTCTTAGTGAGATTCATGGTTCAAAACTGTCTCGGTTGTATCAAATGATTTACTTAAACTTGTATTTTTCCCTTTTTATTACCCTCCAAAGGGCAGATGTGTTGATTTCTGCCACCCTTATCAGAAACAATCAAATAAGTTGGAGTATCTTATCACAAATTTTCCTAAAATTAAATGTTAGTTTTTTCTAGCGCAGATTACTCATTGATTCACAAGTAGTATGGATAACCAACAAATCTATAAACATTATCTGTTATGAGTAGTCCATTGAAAAATAATTTTAGCATTTCTCTATCTCTTAAATCATCCCACATATTTAGATCATATTACATAACCAAAAAATCAACGAGTGTTTTATTAATTTTTAAATTTGTTGTTGGACTTGGGTTAAAAGAAACATGTATTTATTTAAAGGAAAAAAAAAAAAGGCTCTCCAAATCTAACGGTAATGAATATCGTCAGAATATTTGATTAGTAGTTGGTGCATTATCCGTCAAAACAAATCTAAATAGATCAAAAATTCTAGGTAACCGATATAATTTTTTATTATTCAAAAATTCAAATTAATATCTGTTTGTATTTATCTAAAATTTAAACTTCCAATATCCTTATTCCATAACAACATTATCACCATGAATCCCGCTTCGCTTCCATTTCTTTTATGAAACTATAAAAGTTTAAACAGACTCTATCAGGGTTTTTCAGCTATCTATTAACTATCAATTTAAGGTTGATTTTCCTTTTTTTTCCCTTATTGTAACAATTTTCATAGCAAGTTTTGAGTATGATTGATGTTGCAGCTCAAATTATTCAGTAGTTTTTCTTGAAGGGTCATTTGATTTTGTCTTTGGAAACAAAATTTTACATTCTTTTCGATATCTCTTCAATTCAATAGTTTAGCAATGGAAGTTTGTTGTTTATTTTGAATATAAGAGGCTCAAGTTTCATTAATAATTTACAGTTATTTTTTGTTTTCCTCTTGTTTTAGACATTGAATCTGTAGAGATTGATCTGAATATAAGTTCAATTGTTACAGAACCAACGAGATCATAAAGCAAAAAAATGACAAAAATATCAGTACCCTTAGTGGGATTTCTCCTATTCAGCTTCTTGACAATCACGGTACAAGCAGGAACTGGATACATGAAGTACAAGGACCCTAAGCAACCCATTAACAAGCGGACTCAGGACCTCATGCAACGAATGACTGTTGAAGAAAAAGTTGGTCAGATGGGCACAACTTGACCGTACTCAAGCCACTCCAAAGATCATGAAGGACTATGGAATTGGCAGTGTCCTAAGTGGAGGAGGAAGCGTGCCAGGCCCTCAGGCCACCCCACAGGATTGGATCAATATGGTTAATGCTTACCAAAATGGTTCAGTTTCAACCAGGCTTGGGATCCCAATGATTTATGGCATTGATGCTGTTCATGGACATAACAATGTTTATAAGGCCACTATATTCCCTCATAACGTTGGCCTTGGTGCAACAAGGTAAGACCTTCCCATATTTTCAGTTAAGTTTCTGTCAAAAATTTTCATAGATGATTCTATATTTTGTGGTTACTCCATGATATTTCTTGTATATAGGGATCCTGAGCTTGTAAAGAGGATTGGTGCTGCAACAGCTCTTGAAGTTAGAGCTACCGGCATAAATTATGTATTTGCACCCTGCATTGCGGTAAAAGGATGATTGACCATCAGTTCTGCATGGTTTTTTATCAAGAGAAATACATTCCAACTTCTCCAATTTTTACAAAATTGAAGGGTTGTTGATTTATTAATCTTCTTGAATGATAGGTTTGTCGAGATCCTAGATGGGGTAGATGTTATGAAAGTTACAGTGAAGATCCAAAGATCGTCAAGGAAATGACAGAAATTATAGATGGATTGCAAGGGGAACTTCCTAAGAATTCACCCAAGGGTGTTCCTCACATTGGCGGAAAGTAAGTTAACAGGCAAAATACATATATCAAATTCTGAGAGGTGGTTGACACAGTTCGCTTTGCTCTTTCATTAATTTCATCTAACTGAAACCATTTTTCTATTGTGTTTTGGAAAAGGGACAAGGTTGTGGCTTGTGCCAAGCACTTTGTGGGAGATGGTGGCACAACCAAGGGGATCAATGAAAACAACACTGTGATTGATAGGCATGGTTTGCTTAGCATTCACATGCCAGCTTATTATGATTCCATCATTAAGGGAGTGGCAACAGTTATGGTTTCCTACTCCAGCTGGAATGGAGAGAAAATGCACGCTCACCGTGATCTTGTCACCAATTTCCTCAAGGGCACCCTTAGATTCAGGGTAAATTTTGCTGGACTCTAATTAAGTTAGATCACAAATTAATAAAACTGGAGTAAAACATTGCTTTTGATCTTTTCTTATGTGCAAATTGCAGGGCTTTGTCATTTCTGATTGGCAGGGTATTGATAGGATTACAGATCCTTCCCATTCAAACTATACACATTCAGTTCTGGCTGGAGTCCAAGCTGGCATTGACATGGTGAGTGGCTCTGACCAGTTTGAATTTTATTTTATTTATTTATATTTTTGTTTTTCTTCTTACTTAAGAATAAACTTGTCAATTATGCCTAATGTTATCAATGCAAATTTTAATTTGAAAGTGTTGTCTTGCCTGTTTTTCAGGTTATTATTCCCTTCAACCATACCGATTTCATTGATACTTTGATCAGACTTGTCAAAAACAATTTCATTCCAATGAGCCGTATTGATGATGCTGTTAGGAGGATTTTGAGAGTCAAATTCAAACTTGGTTTATTCGAAAATCCCATGGCTGATGAAAGCTATGTTGGTCATCTTGGAAGCCAGGTTATTATCCAATATGTTTTTCCTGCGATTCAATTAACAATAAGACAAGCTTACAGGTAGCAAGATTTATGTGTTTTCTGTTACAGGCTCACAGAGATTTGGCACGGGAAGCTGTCAGAAAGTCGCTTGTTTTGTTGAAGAACGGAGAAAATGCTGATAATCCTATGCTACCTCTTCCCAAGAAGTCATCTAGGATCCTGGTTGCTGGAAGCCATGCCGATAATTTGGGTAATCAATGTGGTGGTTGGACTATCTCTTGGCAAGGACTTGGCGTAAACAACCTCACTGCTGGTAACCGTTATTCTCTCTTAGCTTTCAATACTAGAAGATGGCAACATTAGCAAACAAGTAATTTAGTTTTCAACAAAAGTATTAATGTCCTTAATCAACAGGAACTACCATTCTCAAAGGAATTAAAGCGGCTGTTGATCCGAGCACAGAAATTGTCTATAAAGAGAACCCTACCGCTGATTTTGTCAAATCTAACAACTTCTCCTATGCCATTGTCGTTATTGGTGAGCCTCCTTATGCTGAGGGATATGGGGACAATTTGAACTTGACAATCCCAGACCAAGGTCAATATACTATGTACAATGCGTGCGCCAACATCAAGTGTGTGGTTGTTCTAATTTCCGGAAGACCTCTGGTGGTAATGCCCCATCTTGAACAGGTAGATGCACTTGTTGCTGCATGGCTGCCAGGGTCGGAAGGCCAAGGAGTCGCTGATGTTCTTTTTGGAGACTACGGATTCACTGGGAAACTACCTCGTACCTGGTTCAAGACTGTAGAACAGCTCCCAATGAATGTTGGTGATCCTCGTTATGACCCCCTGTACCCATTTGGTTTTGGCCTGACCACCGAACCTGTCAAGTCAACAAACTAGTCTCAGGTGTCTTGTCTCAATGGTCGTAGTCTATATAGTTAACAGTTTTGTTTTTGGACTTTCTCTTTTCCCAATCCTTTTCTCAATAACTACCAGTTAATGCCATTATTACAATGAAAGAGGTTTAGTTTGCTATTGTTATGGAATATAATTGTAGTATTAGAAGGCATCCTACTTATAAATAATTTTTTATATTTATCTACTGCACATTTTTTATTTTTAAGAAAAGTTTGAAAATATAAAAAAAAAAAATTAAGAAACAATGACTTATTTTAAGAACCAAAAATACAAGCAAAAAGCCTTATATGTTGTGCCTCAAAGAAAATATTGGCAGAAGCCTACAACCAGAATTGAAAAGTAACTGCTGTAAATTTTCTAAGACAAAACGAAAATGAATTAAATTTAAAAGATAAAGAAACTTCATTTAACAACGGTCACTCAATCTATCGTATCATCAATTGTTTATGCAAGAATTCACCGTTCACAATTATTATGACATTAAATTTTAAATTATGATTATTTATCATATCATCAATTGTTAATGCAAGAATCCATCGTTCACAATTGTTATGAAATAAAATTTTAAATTATAATTAATTATTATAACACAATAATTATAAATGATATGTTCCAACCACTAAGCAATTTCAATGCTGCCAATTTCAATGCTACCAAAGCTTGGCGCCCCTAAGGCAACATATAACATATTTAATCATTCACATTCTAGTAAGGGTAAAAATTATTGAGTAACGTACAGCCCTAAGATTTCACAGGACATCTCTCCAGTCCGTATAGCATCTATTCTTTGCACGGCATCCCAACAGATTGTTTTCAGAATTTTTCTATACATGCCAACGATCAACAGTCAACTGGAGAACTGAAAAAAAGGGTAAAGAGACGGTACAAATTTAAAGGTGGGAGTATCGTTAAAAAAAAAAAAAAAAACTCACGCTTGCCTACTAGTAAACGTATAAATAACAAGAATAGCTTCCAATCTTTATCAGTATTGTGAGACTGACCGTGCTCAATAAAACCTAATGCATCTTCCTTGGAGACAACAGTAACAAGGCTCACCCCGTTTTTATGTGTCTAACCATAAATCTGATCTGCAACTTTGACAAGCTCTGGCAGAAATGTGGTGGTGGTTATGAATTGTGTATTTGCCATGTCTGCTAGACGTTCAATCATATCTAGACAACAAGTAATTAAGGATCCAGTAGCAAGTCAAAATTATTCATCTCTACTTGCATTTAGAAACAAAGAAAAGACATGGGGGGCATAGTTCACATATACAAGATTTATACAAGACAAACCAAATGCTAACAAAACAAAACGAGACAAACCAAATGCTATCAAAACAAATCGAGATTAGGTGAACGTAAATGAAAGGAACTGTAGAAAATGAAAAATTAATAACAGCTACTTAATCAGCTAATACTGTAAAGACAAATCAACATGCCAAGGGAACACATTCTGTTTAAAGACATTTCTAACCACTATGAAACAAATGAATTCTGCAGGCTTTTTTTCCTCGTGTATTCTTCCTTACCATGGCATAAAGTTTGTGCAGCAAAAAATAAAAACCATGCAGTCTACTGTGTATAATACTAATTTCTTTTGTTTACTTACTACAAGAAATGAGAAGGACACACTTCCACAGCAATGCACACTGCAGTCACAAATGCATTGATCCAATTGACCTGACTTGACCTATACCTGAATTGCCTTGATTCAATTTGACTAACTTTACCCATTTAAAGAAAATACACAAGCAACCTAAACATTTATTGATGCAAACAAAACTGAAACCGAACCCAACCTGCCAAATTGCCACTTTTACTCCAAACAGCAGTTTGGTTCAACTCCTCATGGAGACAGCTTCCAGTATTAGTTAATCAATCATGGAAGGTAGTTTATGGATGGAATTGCAAAGAGCAAAAGGTTCATATTGCAGCAATCGATGCTCAAGAAAAGGTGCAACATCTTTTGGGCTAAATTGTGTATCCCTTAACAAGACAACTGTATGATTCACGTTCCTCATTCTGGGTTCTAGGATGGTCATGAATTATCAAAAACAATCTCCACAAAGGCAGATAAAACCTGGTGTCCTGCACCTCTCTCTTTGATTTTGACATATATTAAAATTAAAGAATGAAAGATCCACATCAAAACAGTTTAAAATGAAGATATGTATTCTGAAAAATGCGTGTACGTAGTAATGCATGCCCATCTTCACCTTCACAGATTCTGGAAGAGTTCACTCAAAACAAAACGGATTGCTAAAATAAAAGCCCAAAGAGCAAGTTCAATGTCACTTGGATTCAAGAAACACCAGTCAACAAATAGATGTGAAGTAATATAATGAAAAGTGCAATTACCATGGAAAAAGTTCGTTTTGCCAGAACCATTTGCACCAACTGCAGAAGCCATCATTTAAATAAATACCAAATGTTAGATATGATATTAACTAATTTAAATAGTGCAAAGTCAAAAAATGATAACAGATTATAACTCAGACATCAAGGAAGACAGACCAAAAGATTTCACTGGACACAGAGAGACACACGCAAAAGAAAAGAATATGTACATGTCCATAAAAGCAAAGTGCAATTATTTATTTACTTCAAAGTGTAATAAGACCACCTTAAAAACCACATGGGTAACCTTGGTCGCAAATAAAGATCAAAATGTTCTCCACGATCTTCATGCTATAATTATAATACAAAGTTTATTTTCTTTAATAATGGGGGAATTTTCCACACACACACACACATGATAAATTAAGGACATTCTTCCAACCGAAGGCGGGAGAAAAGTGATGCCCGTGCAGATTCTAAAGCAAAATTACCACCAATATAAAATTCATGTAACTATCTGATTATTTAATATTTTTCAGAGTCCACAGAATATTATTTGTAAAAAATATGTTGATCACTTCTCATACAACTAAATCAGCATACCTTTAAAATCACAAAAATATGAAACAACTAAATCAGATCATCCTCTATAGTTGCCTTCAACAAGCAAAGAAAAAAAATCACCTGGTAATTTTAAGTAAATACAACATTACCAACACAATTAACTTTTGGACTGAACGGCTCAGTCGCAATCTGCTCCCTGTAGCTTTTGAACCCTTGTATGATGACCTATAATAATAATAATAAAATCTTCAAAAAATGAACTGAATGCAGGAATTTCAAAGTTAATAGGCCAAATGTACCAAAAAATAGGGATTACCTGTTTTATGAACATGATGAACTACCAAAGTAGCTAGCCTCTGTAAGAGAATTAGGAAGAAAAGAGGGTCAGTAACAATTAGCAAAAATAATAGATAGTGATACATTACTATAATTTGAGTTCATGTGCTTCAAAGAGGAAAATGGAAAGAAAGGAATTTGACTTGCAGTGGAAAATGGAGGATTGAAGGCGGTTGATTTTTTTTTTTTTTCTTTCTCGTTTATTTGGTTGCTCAGCTTTTACAGGAGGGTGTGCGGTGCGCAGGTTAAGGGGCCCCCGCATACAAAATTTTGATATAGGAAAAAAAAAAAGGGCATAATTGACTAAAACGTTTTACAATGAAGAGCATGTTTTTTTTCTTCTCAACATGATTTTTTAGTCTTGGCCAACTATGAATATATTTTTATTAATTTTAATTTATTAAAAGATTAACAAAATGCATAATATCTGATAAAAAATTCATAATATAAATTTCTAACAAGAGAGGAACGTATTTAAATATAGATACTATGGCTATTTAAGTCAATTTTTTCATCTCTATTATAAGTTGATTTTACAAATTAAAATGGCAGCATGGAACAAATTCAACTTCTTCTTTTTTTATTTTGATATTTGCATAAGATTCAGATCAACTTATTATTTTAAATATATCTCTTGTTATTATTTTTATATTTTTTATTATTAAACATCTATCCATAAATAAAGATTTTTATGCACTTTTCAATTTTTCATATACGAAAAAATTTTACTCTTCAAGTCCATTATATTATAAAGCTGATTTTATAAATCATAAATGGTATGAATATCATGAAATGTCATAAGTACATAGAACATATTTAAAATAAATTATAAATGGTTATAATCCCATTAAATCTCTATTATTATTATTTTTCCTAATATCGATTACGTAATTTTTCATTAAAAGAATAAAAAACCTTGGCCAAAAAATTTTTTATTAAAATTAAAATTAAATAAAATGCAAAATGTATAGACTATTGGGCTTCTCTTGTATTCTCAATCATTCATCAAATTTCAAAGCTTTGAAGTATTTCCCATCTGAAAGATAGGTGCCAATTGCCAAACGAACAGCCCGCACATCCTTGGGCCGTCTTGAAACAATTCTGCAAAGGAGAAGGAAGTCATTCACTCATATTATTCCAAGCCCAGAGAGCAAGTATTTCATTATTAGTAGCTACTATAAAAAGATTAGGCTCAAACCTTCCTAAATCTCCAGGCTTGACCAAGCCAGAATTAACTCTGAGGCATGGAACTGATGCTACCGCCTTTATCATTTTGGGTGCTTCAACCACAATTATGCGAGACCCTACTTCAAGCCTTGAGCTTCTTGCTGGCAACCCTTCTGCTGAAGATGATTCACACCTTAGAAGCAGGCCTTGGTTTCGAACTCGATACCCGGTCGAGCTGCTGAGCTGTAAGATTTGATTGTCGTGAGAATTTGAGCATGGTAATGTTGAAGTAGAAGACACAGAGAGTGCATGAGATATGAGACGATGTTTTTGTGGCTTCAGCTAGAGGGAATGTGCTTATTTGTATTTATACAAGTTTGAGTCTTTTTTTAAATAAAAATAAAAAGATAGACGAAGCGTTCAGTCAATTTAATAAAAGCTAAAGCCATCTTTTCTGTATCCAGTTATCAAGAAAAATGAATTATCATTTGCACAACATATATAACAGAAAAAAAAATGTATCGAACTCGAAAGAAAAACCAAAAAATACAGTAAATTTGTCAGGTCAAACAAGCAGGATATAATTACAAAACCTTTACAATCTATACAAAATTCCAGGCGGATATTTCAAAAGAATTCAAAGCATATCCTTTATGACCCTGCTCTTTTTGGGACCTTTTGGCTGCGTATGTTTACATTTTTACTTCTTTTAATATGTAAGATATGGATCCTGTGATATTGTCAAAACATCCGACCTTTCTGCTTGGTTATATGTTAGACATCGGCGAATAAAATCCTGCATGGTTAAAATTATAATTATCATTAAGTAACCAAAAGTTCTCCCCATATATTCACATTTCATGATAGTCAAGCAACTGAAAGTCTGAAACTCCTGAAATATAATTTCAGCAATTCTGCGGCATGTACATAGAAACAGATAACAAATGCCCTTATTGTGCAGGCATCAATAAAAATTTTGTGCTTAGGACGGGAAAGGAGAATAACTAAACTCTGCAGCTATGGTATCACCATTGAGAGGAAGTATTATCTGAAAAAGAGATTATCTACAATAAATGATTGAACATCAAGTCAAAGTCAAACTACCATACTGCAATAACCATGATATATAACTGTGAAAATTTAATCTTTATTATTACTTGATTAGTTGACTTTATCTATTTAAGTTAAATATTTTATTTTTAGAATAAGAAGTGATTAGGTTAATTACACTAAATCTATTAAATATTTTCCTGTGTAGAGAGTAAATTACTCATTTGATTAGCTATTTTAATGTATGAAAATCTTAGACTTTAAGGTTGAAAATATTTAGTTTTTAGCCTATATATTTTCATGCAATACTAACATTGTAATAAGAAAAATATAGAAGAATAAAATAGTTTTATTCTACATATTTTTTCATGATACCAGAACACCATCTGAACCTTTGAAAATTTTCACTCGAAGTCCAGTATGGCCAACAGAAAAGAGAGCCCGATGTCGGGGATTACTTCTAACCCCGGAGCTAACGTTTCCCAATCACTACAGAACATTACTACTCTTATTCGAACAAGTTCTTTAGCATAAAAAAGTAATTTTTAAATGTTTTAAATGTAAAACTAGAGAAATTAAATTCATGAATTGTGAATTTAGGAGCTTCAAAACATATGATTGCAGATGCATCTATATTTAGTAAATACAACCCATGTCATGAAAACTTCACCGTTCGAATTGCTGATGAGTCACTTTCAAAAGTAACTGATACAAGTTCTATTATTATTTCCAAAGAGATAACACTTGATTCTATTTTGTTTGTCCCAAATCTAAGTTGCAATCTACTTTCTATATGCAAATTTATAAGAGACCTTATGTGTGTTACTAAAATTCTTTCAAATATGTGTGAATTTTAGGATTTGGACTCAGGGAAGAAGATTGGCAATGCTAAGATGTGTGCAGGACTCTATATCTTCAAAGCTAATAATTCTAAAAGACAATATCAAAAGACTTTTTGTATGACTTCATCCTCCAGTAATGATAAAAATAATACTATCTTATTGTGGCACTATCGATTAAGTCATCCAAATTTTGTATCTCAAAAAGTTGTTTCCTCATTATTCAATCAAAATCATAATAACTTTCAATGTGAAGTCAGCCAACTATTTAAACATACTTGTACCACATATCCTAATCACCCTTACAAATCATCTTATCATTTTTCAATGATACACAGTGATATTCGGGGTCCCTCCAGAATTAATAATATTACTAGCTTCAGATGATTTGTTACATTTATTGATGATCACACCAGGGTTATTTGCGTATTCCTTATAAAGGAAAAATCAAAAATGGGCCAACTATTCTAAAACTTCAACAACATGATCTAAACTCAATTCAAAACCAAAATTCAAGTGTGGAGAACTGACAATGGGAGAGAATACTACAATTTAATTCTTGGATCATATCTAATGAAGCATGGTATAATTCATCAAAACTCATGTGTCGACACTCCTCGGCAGAATGGCATTGTTAAAAGAAAGAATCGACATTTGTTGGAAGTTGCAAGATCCCTCATGATGACTGCCCATATACCTAAGCATTTTTAAGGTGAGATTGTTCTCATCGCTACTTATCTTATAAACAAAATACCTTCTTAAGTCCTGAAATTTCAAAGCCCTTGTCAATCCCTTCGTAATTCCTATCATCACTTTCAAATCATCTTTTCTATTCCCATTAAAGTGTTTGGATGCACTGTATTTGTTCTTACCAGCCAACAAAACCAAAGCAAATTAGATCCCAAATCCATCAAATGCATATTTCTCAAATACTCCCCGAATCAAAAAGGATACAAGTGTTAGTCACCAATAACAAAGAAATTCTACCATTCCATGAATGTTACCTTTTTTGAAAATCAAACTTGCTTTCTCAAAACTACCATTCAGGGAAAGAATCCAATCACACAGGAATATCTACTTTGGGAAGGTCTTATTACCGAACCACCAAACACTTCTCAAACTCCCTTTCACGTTCAAAATATCCAACCAGATCCTCCAACTCCCTTTCAAGTCCAAAACATCCAACCAGATCCTCCAAGCCCAAAGTCCACACAAAGGAAAACAAACAAAGAATTTATTATCTATTCACAAAGACATAAAACTCAAAAGGATCTAGGAGAATGTACACCTTCAAAACAAAACCAAGAATCTGAACCAATTTCAGAGATACTTGAAACCTACATAGGTAACACTCTTACTGAATCTAATTCAATTTAATCTTTTGATCATTTTGATCAATCGATTGCTCTAAGAAAAGGTGTGAGATCATGTACCCAACACCCAATCTGTAATGTGGTTTCTTATGAAGGTTTTTCACCCAGTTATAGGGCTTTCGTTACCACACTAAACAATATGCAAATTCTCAATAATATTTATGAAGCACTCATGCAACCAAAATGGAAGATAGTTGTTTTGGAAGAAATCAAGGCCCTAAAAAAGAACAAAACATGGAAGATTTCAGAACTAACTAAAAAGAAAAATCCAGTTGGGTGCAAATGGATTTTTACTGTCAAGCACAATGCAAATGCAAGTATTAATAGATTCAAAGCTCACCTTGTTGCAAAAAGATTTACTCAATCTTATAACTTTAACCATAATGAGACATTTGCTCCGATTGCTAAACTTAATTCAATCCGGGTGTTATTATCATTGGCAACAAATCTAGATTGGCCAATCCACCAACTAGGTGTCAAAAATGAATTTCTTAATGGTGACCTAGAAGAAGTTTAAATGAAAATCCCTCCAGGATTCAAAAACCAAGATAATTTTAGCAAGGTATATGAGCTTCAAAAGTCTTTATATGGTCTCAAACAATCCCCATGTGTATTGTTTGATATACTAACAAAAGTGGTAAAAAAGAATGATTTTTCACAATGCCAGATCAATCACACCAATATTTGTCAAACATTCACCTGAAGGAAAAATGGCCATTCTTATTGCCTATGTGAATGATATTATTCTTACCGGAGACTATGTGGAAGAAATTAACAACTTAAAGAACCTCCTAACCAAAGAATTTGAAGTCAAAGATTTGGAACATCTCAAATATTTTTTTGGCATGGAGGTAGCTCGCTCAAGGAATAACATCTCTGTTTCACAGCGTAAGTATGTCCTAGACTTTCTAAAAGAAACTGGAATGCTTGGATGCAAACTTGCTAACACCCCTATGGACACAATGAATAAGGTAGGAATGGAAGAAGGAAGTCCACCAACAGATAAGAAAAAATATTAAAAACTTACTGAAAAACTCATATACCTTTCTCATACATGACCAAATATCAATTTTTCAATTAACACAATAAGCAGATTCATCAACAACCTAACCAAAGAACACTTAAGGGCTATGTATCGAATCTTACATTACCTAACAAAGGGTTATTTTTTAAGAAGACATCACACCGAAATTAAGGGTGCAATCGATTGAGTTCAAGCTGATATAATATTAAGCTCGAGCTTGATCTTGATTCGAAATTTGAGGCTCGAAACTCGGCTCAAACTCGATTGAATTTTATTTTTTTAGCTCAAGCTCGACTCAATATAAAAATCGAGCTACTCAAGCTTGTTTGATTAAGCTTGATTAGCATGTGAAAATAAGCTCGATTCTTATATTCGATAAAAGTTCGATTGTTTATCCTCGAGCTCAAGCTCAAGTATGAGATAGTTTATTAATTAAAATAATTAAAATATATTAAAATATAAAAGATCGATTAGGCTCACAAACTATTCAAGTCAAGTATAAGAATGCTCGAATTCAGCTCGATCGATAAGTCGAGCTACTCGAACTTGAGCTCAACTCGATAATAATCGAACAAAATTCGAGTTTTATTCGAATTGAACCCAAGTAGCTTACGAGTACTAATGTATCATTTACACCTCTAACTAACATGTTGAAATTTACATTGATGTTGATTGGACGGGATCTGTTATTGACTAAAGATCAACTACTGGTTTTTGTACCTATGTGTGAGAAATTTTGGTTACTTAGCGAAACAAGAAGTAATCTGTGGTGGCTAGAAGTAACGCGGAAGCCGAGTTTAGAGTTATGTCTCATGGCATATATGAGGAAATTTGGCTAAAAAGATTGTTAAGGAAGTTAAAGGTCTCTGCAGAAAAATCCATAAAGATATTCTACAACAACAAAGCTGTCATAAGTATAGCAAAGAATCTTGTTCATAATGATAGGACTAAATGTGTGGAGATTGATCATCACTTCATCAAAAAAAGGATAAATGAAGGAATTGTTAGATTAGTTTATACTCCCACATGCCTCCAAACTGCAAACATACTCACCAAGGCTTTCTCTCGAAATAACTTCGAGAATCTGAAGTCTAAGCTGAGCATGATTGACATCTACCCCCCAGCTCAAGAGGGAGTGTAGAAATCTAATCTTCATTATTACTTAATTAGTTGACTTTATATATTTTAGTTAAGTCTCTTATTTTTAGAATAAGGAGTGATTTGGGTAATTACACCAAATCCATTAGATATTTTTTTATTATGTGTAAAGAGTAAATTACTCATTTGATTAGCTGTTTTAATGTATGAAAATCTTGGATTTTAAAGTTGAGAATATTCAATCTTTAACCTATATATTTTCATGTAATTTTAGCATTGTAATAAAAAAAATATAGAAGAATGAAATAGTTTTATTTTAGAGATTTCTTCAATAACTCCACTTTTGATGCTTATGAACAGAAGTCGTTTCATCCATCAAGACAAAAACATGCAGCAGCAATTACCTAAGATAGAGAGAACTAACCTTTGCCTCATTGGAGATGGTAGGTCTTGATGGGAATTC